TTCACTTTCTCTGGGCTCAGTTCCTGGAAACAATCACCAGGATCTTTGAATTTCCAGTTACAACAAAACAAATCCTGAAAGTGACTCCAGAGTAGGTAAATTGGAGTTTTCTTTGACTGTTGTTGGCTTTTGGCTTTGTTTCTTATTTAAAACAGTAGTCTCCTGATATCCTCGATGGATCGATCCCAGGACCCCACAAATAACAAAATGTGTGGCGGCTCAAGTCCCTTTTATAAAATGACACAGTAAGCCAGCTGGTTGTCTCTAAGAGCTCTGCCTCTGAGGATTCACCCAATTTATTACGATTGGCTGAACCTGCTGATTCAGGACCCAAGGATATGGAGAGTCAACCATTTAAACACTTGATTTTTTCTCCTCTGGGATGGACACTCAATTATACAATTACCTATCTTTGCTTATATATATACTCTACTTTTAAAATTAATTTTATTTCTCTATTCATTCATTTTTGGCCGTGCTGGATCTTGGTTGTGGCAAGCCAGTGCTACTGTTCACTGCCGTGCATGAGTTTCTCACTGTGGTGGCTTCTCTTGTTGCAGAATATGGGTTCAGTAGCTGTGGTACATGGGCTTAGTTGCTCAGAAGCACATGGAATCTTCCCAGACCAGGGATCAAACCCATCACCTACACTTGAAGGTGAATTCTTAACCACTGGACCACCAAGGAAGTCCTACCTTTCTTTCCGATGTAAAACCTAAGAGACAGTTAATGGCCCACAACATGAAATGTCACTTAGTAAATACTTTTCTAATTCCAGTTTACACTACTTTGGTCAAGGTAGTGTGTGTGTGTGTGTGTGGAGAGAGAGAGTGAGCTATTTTTGAACTGGTAGAAAGGACATTGTTTGCGTGCTAAGTCGCTTTAGTTGTGTCTGACTCTTTGCGAGCCCATGGACTGTGACCCTCCAGGTTCCTCTGTCCATGGAATTCTGCAGGGAAGAATACTGGAATGGGTTGCCATGCCCTCTTCCAGGAGGTCTTCCCGACCCAGGGATCTCTTAAGTCTCCTGCATTGGCAACTGGATTCTTTACCACTAGCACCACCTGGGAAGCCCAGAAAAAGTATTAAACATGGTAAAAATAGTAAAATTTACTTTTGCAGGTAGGGTAAATCCCAAGTCTTTTCTCCTCTCATGCTACCCCTAGGATGCCAGAGGCAGAAACTAGCACTCCTATTGTGGGAACTACCATTGCCTGGCATTTTCTGCCTCCTTTCCTAAAGTCATGTCCACAGGGAGAAGACACCCAGATTAAGGAGGAGATTCATGATGCTTGGGACAAAACACAGAAATGACTGTTTGATTTGGAGAGTATTCTTAATAGATGGCCACATTGCCTGTGAATTATGTCAATGTTATTACCTCTCTTTTTATTTTCTTTTTGTCTACGCCTTGAAGCACGCAGGTTCTTAGTTCCTCAACAAGGGATCAAACCAACATTTACTGTGATGGGAATGTGGAGTCTTCACCGGACCGCCAGGGAAGTTCCAATCTCTCTTTTTATTCTTTTCTCTCATTTCTATCTGTCTATCAGCTATCTCCCTCTCTCACTCTCTTTTTTTTTTTTTTTAAATACTTACTTACTTGGCTGCACCAGGTCTTAGTTGCAGCATGTGGGATCTAGTTCCCTGACCAAGAAACAAACCCAGGCCCCCTGCATTGGGAAAGCAGAGTCTTAGCCACTGAACCACCCTGGAAGTCCCTCTCTATTTCATATCCTAGAGTTTTTAATCTGTTTCTATGAGAACTGAAAAAGAGTAACAGGATTTTGGTTTTCACGTAACAACTCAAGAAGTTGAACCTGAAAGCTAAAAGTACGTTTCTGGTTCTGTGAATTATCTGCCCTTGACTATTTTTGTTTCTATTTTCCTTTTTTAATCTCTATTATGTATTACTGTTGATTGTAGAAAATTAGTAAAAATGAAAAAGTTAAGCAGTAGAAAAAAGTGGAAGTTGCCTAAAATCACCCAATGCTGAAATTTTCTCATCCTCCTCTGCCTCCTCCTCCTTCATATCTGCCTTCTTTTTTTTCCCCCTGCATCTTTTTAGTAATATTAATATTAAAAATACCAGATGGGTGCACAGGAATGTAAGTACTGCCTTTTCCTCCCAAATATCACATCGTCCCCTTGAGAGATCACTGGTACAGCTAAGGACACTCTGTTTTGAACCATCCCCTGTCCAATTTTATGCAGAACTAGAGTAAGGTGAATGTGACAAACCAATGCAAAAAAAAAAAAATCATGATGAGAAAAATATCAACATTTTAAATAAAAATAAAATCAACATTACTGGTTGTTTCTTTAGCTTCAAATTCCAATTTGGCTTAGCATGGGACTGATCCTTCTTTATTTCAAATGTTGATATTTTATTCATTGTGAAATTTTTGCATTAATTTTTATTTTTAAAAAGACTACATTAAAATATTATCTGGATTACAGGCATCTGGGGCACTCCTTTAAATGTTATGTCCACACCTGCCTCAAGGGTGGTGTGGTCCCCACCCAATTCAGAAACCTCTATAATGAGATCTACAGCACTGTAGTGCTTGGTCTGAGTTGCCTGCTGGTTTCTGAGTCATAGCACATGGCAGTCCCCCATTTTCTGGGACTGTTGTAAAGCATGAAATCAAGAAGACCGAGGAAAGAAGAAAGCAATCCAGAATTCCCCTTGGGTGTTTGGGGTTCCTGTTTGTAACTCGAGGTCCAGTTTTTTTCCCTACTTGAATTAAGTTATCTAATCTTTTTTCCTAGAGGAGCAACTGATGGACTAAAATGGTCACTGAGCAATGTCAGGAATAATCCTGGAAGCAAGCCACATGTTCCCAACCAATTTGTGGGGATGAACAAGAGGGCTTTCATGGGACTTCCCTGGTGGCCCAGTGGTTAAGACTCAGTACTTGCACTACTAAGGGCCCAGATCCAATCCTTGGTCAGGGAATTAAGATCTCACAAGACTTGAGGCACAGTCAAAAAAAAAAAAAAGAAGAAGAAGAAGGCAGCTTCTGTGCCACAATCCAATACCAGTTACTGGGAACCACTCGATGGTCTGCTTTTTTAACCAAAACACTCCTATGGGATAGTCAAATAGCACTGTAACATTTTGGCACCACTTGTCAAGAAAAATTAGGTGTCAAGCAAAGACGTTTACAGCATATAGGTCATTAGCGAGGTATAAAGCAAAAGAAGTGTGTTATTAGGTTTGTGAAAGTGAGACAGTCTCCAAATAAGTGCCATCTGCTCCCTAGCCCACTGCCTGCCAGGTTCCTGCTCAAGTGGAAGGCCAGCCACAAAGATTTTCAGCTCCCACCAAAGGGCCGCTTTGAGCACCCCAGAGTTTTCTGTGTGGCCACTAAGCGGAGGGAGTGAGGTATTCTGGGGCTCTTGGGTACCAAGGATGCCTGCCTGCATTCCAGATGGGTCCATGGTTTTCTGTCATTTTTCCTGCAGTTCTTGACTCCTCTCCATGTGTGTTGTTGTCGCTGTGGTTGTTTTTAAAGATTTTTTTTTAATGTGGACAATTTGCAAAGTCTTTATTGAATTTGTTACAATATTGCTTGTTTCATGTTTTGTTTTTTTCACCTGAGAGGTATATGAGATCTTAGCACCATATAGGGATCAAACCTGTACTGCCTGCATCGAAAAGTGAAATCTGGACTGCCAGGGAAGTCCCTCCTTGTATGCTTTTATTTGCTCTGATGGGTTTTGCTTGTTCCTGTCTCTGCATTTTCTTGTGCCTTGCATTTCTCTCTTCCTTTCTGCAAATCTCAGGCCTTGACTGCTGCACATCCCAGCATTGTGCTTCCTGCTGCCCCTACCCCAGCTGCCCCTGCAGGCTGCCGGCCCCTCCAGAGACCCAGTGAGTGCAGCCCTGGGCCTTCTGTATGTTCAGTTCATTTCAGTCACTCAGTCGTGTCGGACTCTTTGCGACCCCATGGGCTGCAGCATGCTAGGCTTCCCTGTCCATCACCAACTCCCAGAGGTTGCTCAAACTCATGTCCATTGAGTCGGTGATGTCATCCAAACATCTCTTCCTCTGTCGTCCCCTTCTCCTGCTTTCAATCTTTGCCAGCATCAGGGTCTTTTCCAGTGAGTCAGTTCTTCACAGGAGGTGCCCAAAGTATTGAAGCTTCAGCTTCAGCATCAGTCCTTCCAATAAATATTCTTTAGGATGGACTGGTTTGATCTCCTTCCAGTACAAGGGACTCTCAAGAGTCTTCTCCAATACCACAGTTCAAAAGCATCAATTCTTCGGTGCTCAGCTTTCTTTATGGTCCAACTCTCACATCCATACATGACTACTGGAAAAACCATAGCCTTGACTAGACAGACCTTTGTCAGCAAAGTAATGTCTCTGTGTTTTAATATGCTATCTAGGTTTGTCATAGCTTTTCTTCCAAGGAGTGAATGTCTTAATTTCATGGCTGCAGTCACCATCTGCAGTGATTTTGGAGCCCAAAAAACAGTCTCTCACTATTTCACCTGTTTCTCCATCTATTTGCCATGAAGTGATGGGACCAGATGCCATGATCTTAGTTTTCTGAATGTTGAGCTTTAAGCCAACTTTTTCACTCTCC